TGTCAGCAATTTATTCTGCTTCATTTTGTATCCCGTTATGTTGTGTAGGCCTTGCCACAGGTGGTTGGTGTCCGTGTGGTTAGTTTGGGCCTGTAACTTGGTCGGTAAAATGGTCTAGTAAGCCAATCAGTTCAAGAGCAGTTAGGGATAGATAACGTATGTGTGACCTTGCCAATGTGCCCACATCTGATGAAATAATATAACATAAGAGGGAACAAGGTAGACAGGTGGAGAAGTTAAGAGGAGAGAGCTTTCAGAGCTAAGGACATAGGTAATTGAAAGCACGACCACAATGATGAAACAGTAGAAACTGCAGCTATCCCTGAAGGTTCTGTGGCTGGAGGAAGTTACAGACTTCGGGAAGGATAGGGATGTGGAGAAATTTTAAAACATAGATAAGAATTTTCTAATTAAAACATTATTTGACCAGGAGCTAATCCAGGTTAGTTAGCTCATTGTTGAACAGGATGTGGTGCATGTCATTGACGTTGGCGGCAAAGTTTTGAATAACTTCAAGTTTATGGAGAGTAGACTGTAGGAGACCAGTCAGCACTGTGTTAAAACAGTCAAGTTTGAAGGTGTTGAGGGCATAAATGAAGATTTCAGTAGCTGATGAGCAGAAGCAGGCACAATCAGGCAATATTATAAAGGTAGAAACAGGCAGTTTTAATGATGATACAAACTTGTGGTCAGAAACTCTTCATTGATCAAATATAGCACCCAGAATGTGCACTTGTTGGAAATAGGCAGCTATTGAAATATGGATCATGAATTTAATTCTGTAAACATTAATAGTATATGGAACAACTAGTGCTACCATTGCCAAAGGGTCTTTTGACAAACTAGATAACTAAGGTTGGTGGTGCATTCATTAGTATGGATAATCTGTAACTTTACTACTTGTACTCTGGTAAAGTTTGTCAGAGTCTATTTCTAAGCAATCATGAAGGTCATATTTATGACACATCTGCCTTTGCCGTGGATGTTTTTCACTGCAGCGATCTAATGTCCATCTATGTGTTATAAAAAGTGTTGTAAATACCTTTACTTTCAGCCATGTTACCCATACTTCATATGTCACACTTTCATAATTGTAAACTTGTCATACATTAAAAATTGTAAATCATTATGCCAACATCTCATCATGGAAAAGTCTTAACCAAGATTTCTAAAATCTCATTTCAACATTGTGTCACAATGACAGAATCAGATCATTTGAAGTTGCTTGTTAAACAATTTTGTGTCAGTAACTAAAACTTCTAAAGGTTATTAAATCAAGTTTTAAACCAAAATTTAAAAATAACTTGTTTCACAAACATGACCAAATATGTCCATTGAACTGTCAGTCTGTTAGTCATGCGGAATTGTGTATTTATCCGTAAATGTTTCAAACTCCACAAGATATTTATCACACTTGCAAATAGCTGCTTGAACTACAAGCCCTCATGTTAGCACTCTCAATGTGGTCCAAATTCCATTTCTGAGCAATTACTTGAGCAAATTGCAAGTTCCATTGCACTTGTTCCTTCTCATTTGTGCTCTGAACTTTACTAAATGCTCTCTGCTACAGCTCTCAAAATGATCTTTTCTCTCAACCCTGATATTGAACTGTATGAAGTCAACTTGCTTCTTGCTGAGTAAAAATATTGGTTAAGTAATTAAACTTCAAACAAAATAAATACAAATTTTGCAGTTTTCAAAAATCACACAATCAATAATCTTTTCCCCCTTAGTTAGTTTTAATTTCTTCCCTTGTCCAGAATGTGATCTTTGTGAAATAAGCTTCCTATTCACGATATTTACATAATGCAAATACAGAATTTCAGTCTGCCCCAGGGTCTCAGTACATGTACAATGTGCTACTGTGCCTGGAAAATCTAATTTTTACCCAAAGTTGCTTGCCTTGGCTCTCACCTCGGAATCAAAAGGTTATAATTTCAAGTCCCCTTCAAACATTTGGCCATCACACCAATGTGGTATTGAGGGTATGCTGCAGTGTTGAAGCTACTTTCAAGTAATATATTAAACGAAGTGCTGATTCAAACTCAGTATCTGGAGAGGGGAGTGAGGTCAGCGATCACACTTCAAAAATTAGTTAGTCACAATGAAATGCTTTGGGATGCTCCAAGGCTTTGCTTAAGTTCACATATAAACTGGACCTTTTATACAGAATTTTACATTCCCCTGCCAGCAGATTTGCTTGCATGACATTTCTTGGGTATCATTGATGTCAGGTTTCATCGACTTTACCGTCAAGCAGCACCTACTCAGCAGACACTTGCTCACTGATACTCAACTTGGGTCCCACTATGTCTCCTCACATCCTGAACTCACTGTCGCCTTGGTCCAAATATGGACAAAAGAACTGAGGTTGAGAGGAAGTGAGGAAGGCTGCCCTTGACAATAAGGCAGCATTGAACTGCAAGTGAAAGCAAAGAGCCTCAGCAGAATTGAAGTCCATAAGAATTGGGGAGAAAATTCCCTACTGTTTAGAGTCATACCTAACACAAGAGATGTTTGGAGTCGTTGGACGTCATTCATCTCAGTCATGGGACATCACGCAGGAGTTCTTCTGGGTATGACCTTCTGCCACTGCTGTCAATTACTTCTCTCCATCATAAGCTCAGCAATGGAGATGATGCAGATGATTCCACACTGTTTAGCACTGTTTTCAAATCCTCAGATACTGAAGCATTTCATGCACAAATGCAGCAAGACCTAGATAACGTGCAGGCATAGGATGAAGAGTGGCAAGCAACATTCATACCACACAAGTGCCAGACAAAGACTTTCTCCAGTAAGAATATTCAACCAATTCCCCTTGACATTCAGTGGCATTCTAATCATTGAATCCCCCATTATCAATGGGGTAGGGTTTACCATTGACCAGAAATTGAAATGGACCAGCCTTATAAGTACTGTGGCTACCAGAGCAGGTGAGAAGCTAGGATTTCTGTGGTGAGTTACTTAACCTCCTGAATGGTGGCAGCAACTCCACTGCTTGCTTTTCCAAGCCTTTATCTAGCTACCCCACTTCCCTGCATGCCCTATTGGACATGATTTTCTTCCACCCTTCCTACACACAAGTGGACTTTATAAAGCTACAAGTCTCACCACATCATCAGGGACTGCTTTCTGACCATGACACCCACATCAACCCTTCAGGAATTCAGTTCGGAGCTCGTGTCACTTTAGAATTACATGCTTCTGTCAGGTTGCTTTGGCTGCAAGAACACACCTGAATCGCGTGCATCTACACGCATGCATCTTATGCCTCTTGAATTACTTTCATAGTGCTCCCTCCTTTGGTGTTTACTTGGAAGCTGTCAGCCTTCCAGGTTTGCATTGCTTTTTAGTGGGTTGGCTATTTGGTCCTAAATTACAAGCTTCCTGCCAACAGCACACTGAGAGGTACTTCTTGGCTTGTAGCCTCAGAGGTGCTGTGGAGCAGGGGTTTAAATGTAGCATCAAAGGCATGAATGTCACAAAGTCATGGAAGCAGGAAGCACTCCTGCTACTCCTGCCACGTGATTACCTGAGCCAGCGGCCAGTGAGACTGATTGCATAAATAATGAGCCGAAGAGCAGATGACTGCATGAGAAAAGTCGACATTAGTCGTGACAAACCATCAACCTTGAATCACACCAAAGAAAGCAGTTTGCTAAACAGTGGGAAAATTCAACCCAATTTGAATTCAACAATTCATTTTCTTCTTTAACTTTTATCTCACAAATGATAATAGGGAGTCAATATAAGATAAATTCTTGCTGTTTTTAGAGACAGAGAATATGGAGAAAGTACAACAGTATCTTCTATTAGATGACATGACATCAATGTTGTGTACTTTATGCTGAGAGCTATATACACTTTGATCTATCTAGATCCCAAAGCAGCAATAAAGCAGCAAAGAAATAAAATAAACGGCAGCAAACAAAGCCTTGCTAAAATAATACATTTTTTACTTCTTCCACTGCTTGAAACCTTCCAATGTTTCTGCCAATTTAGTCATAAATTATTATGGATATTATTATTCATAAATTATCAATTAAAGTGAGGTAGTAAGATCATATTTGTGCAATATTTCACACAAACTTTCTAAATGAACACAAAGGACTTTGATGACTTCAATTCTGATTGCATTTAAACCTAACTTTCAGAATATGTTTTTAGAAATTTCCAATTCGTCAAAATTCACTGAAGTTTGAAATATGAAGAACTGTCAACATGAAATAACCTTGGCATTGCATTGCATTGATAAAGCACAATGCAAGAACTTAGCAAACTGCAGGATTGTGTTAATTAAATTTATCTTCTTCCTTGTATAATCTACCAGAAGATTGAAAATAGATTGTTTCATGTTTGAGTCTGCTTGTTATAACCTGTCCTCAAATACATCATATTTTAGAGCTTTATTAATTCTAACAGTTCCAAGTTTATCAGAGATTTACCAGCTCTGTTAATAACCTTTCAAATTATGAATTGTATCTAATTTAGTTATTTGACCACTTCTCATCTTCTCTTTGATCAGCCCAAACTATCTGATTCTGAAAGTACAGTATCTGGGCAATGAGGAAGTAGTGTTTGAAGAATACTTGGAATAAGTAGGCATGTTAGCTATGCTAACTTCGAAACAATTCTTGTGAACTCCAGCATAAGTTGTTGAGTTTTTTTCTACAATGCTACTCTGAGGGATAGAAATTCTTCTTGAGTAGTTGTGCAAAATGTATATTCTTGGACTGGCTGTTTGCCATAATAGTACCTGAGATTCAATTCCATTTTCTGCAGTGGAACTGAATGTCAGATTGTAAATATAATGGAATGTCAGATACTACATGTAATGGATGGCTTATCCAGTACCGTTTACTCTGAACAACCTACTTGAAACAAATTTCTACAACCCTCTCTTGTTTATTGATGCACCTCCTTAGAACTGATGCAAAGATTCAAATTCCCATTTTTGTGAGCATATTTATATTTCAGCCTGTCTTGCATTATTTCAGAAAATGGTCAAAGTAGCTATGTTACCAGTGCTAAAGGAGAACGGATGAGTGCAAAGTTGAAGTCATTGCCTGGAGTTAATGATCCCTATGAAACAAGCAACAATAAAGATATAGGCAAGTACATGTCTCTTATTCTTTATGTTGAGTTTAAGGTCTTTCTTAATGTATGCTGATGATGTGGAAAATTGTACAGTGATTATTGGGCAAAGCAAATAAATAGTTCTATATTCCGAATATGTGAAAATAGCAGGTATTTCCTGATATTAATTAATGAAAGACTTTTTGCCATCAAAATCATCTTAGATATCTAATATCCCTAAAACAAGCTAAGATGCTACAATATATTGTCATAGTGGTTCTCAAACCATTTTCATCCGGCTGAACACTTAGATGGAAAAATAAACCCATGCACCGTTCTACCTATTCTGTGCACCTGATTTTGCTTGCCGCCTTGAGCAGACTCAGCAGAATTTTAGAAATTACAAATATTTTGCTATTTTTGTTTTAAATGTAATAAATTATTTGACATTATTTTTAAATTGAATATCATGATAAAGTGATTAATTCATGCCAGGAACAAGTCATGTTAATGTTTCAAGAGAGTACGTTCATTTGAAACATTCTAGTATGTATTATAAAATCATCACAATAATCTTCTGAGAATGTAATACTGAAGTGTAAGTGATGTGACAACTTGTGCTGTGCACCTGGGAGCCAGTCTAGTTGTGTGACGTTATGCATGTGGTGGGGCTGAGGGTACTGGCCTGTTCTCGCATGTACTTTTAGCCATAGCATCCCACATCGGTGTCTTACATTTTGGACAAGCCCCTGACCTACTTGAAGTGCCCTTGTGGAACAGGACCACACTTGAAGAACCACTTATCTATTAGAATTGAATGTGTTGCTGTTTTGCTTGTAAGACCTCTAAGTAAGACTTTGGATAAGAATGTCAGAGAGTGCTGAAAAATATGTGCCCAGAAAATTTAGAGTGGTACAGTGGCTCACCTGAGACCCGATTCCAGCCTTGGGTGACTGAGTGTGAGTGGAGTTTGCACACTCTCCCCATGTCTGTGTGGGTTTCCTCCACAGTCCAAAGATGTGCAGGTTAGGTGGATTGGCCATGCTAAATTGCCCATAGTGTCCAGGGATATGCAGGCTGGGTGTGTTAGCCATGGGAAATACTGGGTTGCAGGGATAGAGTAAGGGCGTGGTGCTGGAAGGGATGCTCTTCCAAAGGTCTCTGTGGACTTGATGGGCCAACTGGCCTGATTCCAAACTGTAGTGATTCTATGAAAATTTGTTTATGAATGCTGCTTCTGACAGGGCTATACCAAAATAGCTGCAGAGTTGATGTTTGGGAGCTCATCCTTGTCCCCACAACTCTCCCACATGTATGGAAACTCAGTGAGCTGGGTGACAGATTTGTGATGCAGGTGATGCTAACAGTGTGTGTTCAATGCCCACACCTTCTGAGGTTACCATGAAGGTCCCTCCTTCTCAACCTTGTCTGATGCACAGTGAGCCCTGGATAAAACTCATCAACAGTTGTCTCTTTCTAATGAGAGAGCAGCACTCTGGTCATCTGAGGCTATTGTGATTTTACATTTTCCGTGATAGGGGCTAATAGGGGTGGCTTACACAGTTATTTTCCCTTCAGCAGAATCACACATTACATTATGGAGGAAACCAGGGGCTTCCTAAAACTGGGATATTGCAGTTTATATTGATTATGTTTGTGGTTGTATGTTGCTTCCTTCACAACCCCATGATTAGGAAGGGCTAGTTGCTACCTCCAGGGATTCAAAAGGTTACTTTCAAAGGAAGAGTAGTAGGAGGAGAAACCAAGGAATGATCACATGCACCACATGCAATCAGATGAAGTAAAGTAGACTGCATAATGAGGCCTTAATTTTAGTTAAAAGGAACTTCCCCACCCCCATCAGTACATTTATGTCACACTATCCATGACGTATAACATTTGATAAGGCAATAGCAAAAAGCCTTCACACAGCAACTTTATCTGGTAAGACATGAAAAATGCAAAAAAAAGCCTAATTCCTATTGTGTTCACTGTCTTTATGTAGTATTGTAGTGCCCTTTCTTGGCCTAAAAGTCCTATATATAACACTACCCAGTGGCTGCAGGAACACTGCTTCTTTTCATGAGGGAAACTGCAGATAGTTTTGAAGAAGCCCTCAGGCAGCTCTGGGGCTTGACCGCTTGGTTCAGATTCCAACACTTCAGCGTGGGTGGCAACAGAATGGATAGGCTGACTAAGAGACAACAACATGGGCACTGGCAGAGTGGTAATGGTGAAAGCAAGAATGCTGTCTTTCTGAGAGTGATTTGTGCAGCACGTTGACTCCTCCCTTCCCACCTGGCTACAACTTAGCAATTCTCATAATATGCTGCAGCACAAATTGCTGGACTGCTTTGAGAGTCTGTATGCCCAGTAAAACACTAAATCTGCATCCTAGATGGCAGCTGTTTGTGCTTAAATATCAGCAGCCAGGGATCTTACAACCTTCACCAGAGCTTCCATTACAGCACAGAACAGTCAGTAGAACACTGTCTGGACTGCCTTTGTAGCTGAGACAATGATTAACAGATGTTCCATGGTGAATTAGTCTGGTAGAACTGCCATGGAGATGCCCACTATTTTCACTGTGAAAAATATGAGCTTGAAGCTCTGCATGATGCCCTGTGACATGGTGGCGTAAGACTTCTCCAAGCTTCTAGCCAGTGACTTGAGGTTAATTGACAGGCCTGCACCAGGCACCTTGGTGTATATGTTCATTACTGTCTGTGTCTTCCTGTAGTCCACCACATCTCCGTCCGTGACAGGAGAACTGAAATACAAACTTGTCTTCTGGAAGCACCAGGTGCCACTTGTCCAAATGATCCTGAGAATCATCTTATTAAGTGCACGGATGGGATGGATATTTGGTAGTCCTCTTCCTGTCACTTGCTTCTCCCACCTGATTTAAGTGATCCTCTCCTGCAAGAGGACAAAATCTGATTCATTGTGTCTCAGGGTGTTTCTATCATGTGCCTACCATGGCTGAAGGTATGTGTAAATCACAAACATGATTGGAAGCTGTGTTTGATATGCAGCAAAGAGAGATTAGGAGCGCGGCTTGAGCATCAGAAGGTGCTGAGTGATAAGGCTGTGGTATATTAAGCAGTGAGAGAGATGGCTTATAGGGCATTGGTGATACCACATCTGTATGCAGTTTTGGCCTCCTTGCTTATAGAAGAATGTAAATGATTTGCAGCCAGTTCAGAGGAAGTTTTAATGGATTTGTACCTGGAATGAGTGGATTGTCTTATGAGGCAAGGTTGAACAGACTGGGCTTGTATTTTCTGGATTTAAAGACCGAGGGGTGACTTAATTGAAGTGTATAAAAGCATTGTTTCTGTGCCAATTGTGATATCATCCTAAATTAATCCCATCTGCCTGTACATCATCGTTATCCCTCTTTCCAGCCTGTTCATGTGTCTGTCTAAATGTCTTGCAAACATTGCAGTTGTATCTGCTTCTACCACCTACCCTGGCAGCACATTCTAAGCACCTACCATGTTCTGTGTAAAAAACTTTCCTTGCTCATCCCTTTAAACTTTTCCCTTATAATCTTAAACCTATGCCCCCTAGTGTTAGAAATTTCTACCAAGCACAGAAGACTGAGACTATCCACCCTATCCATGCGTCTCATAATTTTATCTACTTCTATCAGGTCGCCCCCTCAACCTCTGACGCTCTAACCAAAACAATTCAAGTTTGCCCAGTCTCTCCTATAGCAAATACTCTCCAATTCAGGCAACATTGTGGCAACATTCTCAGTGCTGAAGAAGGGTAATACCCAAAATGTTGACTGCTCCTTTCCTCCAGATGCTGCCTGGCCTGCAGTGTTCTTCCAGCCTCCTGTTTGTCTAGGTTGAATTCCAGCATCTGCAGTTTTTTTGTCTCTAACACTCTGGTAAACCTCTTTTGCACCTCTGCACAAACTCCACATCCTGTGGTGACCAGAACTGCATGCAATACTCCAAATGTAGCCTAACTAAAGTTTTATACAGCTGCGACATGACTTGCCAACTTCTTAACTCATGACCCCGACTGATAAAGGCGTACATGCCATTTGCCTTCTTTATCTTATCCACTTATGTTGCCACTTGCAGGGAGCTATGGACATGCATCCCATAATCCCATTGTATATCAATGCTCCTAAGGTTCCTTCTATTTACTGTATACTTTCCTCTTGCATTTGAACTCTCATAATGCATCACCTCATGTTTGTCTGTTTTAAACTCCATCTGCAAAGGATTCTAGGCAATCCAAGATGGAGTTGTGGCTGTAAGAGCTGCACCCTTTTTGAAGTATTTTCAGTGTTGGAGCTGATTTCCTCGAATTCCAGGAGCAGTAATTGCTGTTTTATAAGCTGTTGCATTGTTTTAGAACTTTGGGAAAACAGAAGATTAAAACAATGGCACTTCAAAAAGGGGGAAGACAGACAAAGGGCAGTGACTACATGGGCAGTGATTCAAATGGAGAAAGAAACTGCTATCTGAGACAACAAGGTGCAGAGCTGGATGAACACAGCAGGCCAAGCAGCATCATAGGAGCAGGAAGGCTGACGTTTCGGGCCTAGACCCTTCATCTGATTGTTATCTCGGATTTTCCAGCATCTGCAGTTCCTACTATCTCAGCGAAATTCACAGCTGACTTTGGAGAAGCCTGTGTATGGGAGCTCACAGCAGGGGACCAGCTAAGTGGCCTTTCCAAGTGTAACCTTACTGGTTTTCTTTTGTAAATCTACAATAGTGAGTGGGTTTTTTTTATTATATGTTGTGATTGAGATCTGTCTCTTGATTAAACTTTAAAAATATAAAAAACTTGGGTAATAAGCTAGCCTGGAGCCGTGTTTTTAGAGCAGTAAGACTGCTCTTTTCTAGGTCTGTAGATTAAGATGCAAGGATGGCCTCTAGTAGATGTGTGATTAGGGAGAGTTTTCATTTTATGATGATTATGTTTGCAGGAAGTGCATTTGGTTGCAAATCCTATTGGATTGCATGGATCAGTTGCAGTGGCAGTTAGAGGCAATGAGGAATTTACAGGA